TAGCTATGTACTGGCATGACGCTTGGAAGTTTCCTAGGCCCATCTGTTCTGCCAGTTTCCGCGCATGCTCTTGAAGCAGGCGATTGCTGACTGCTCGACCGGCGGATCTCTCAGTCTCCAGAAAGTCCATCAGTGCGTCGTCGATTTCTTCACTAAAAACGGGTCGTCCCCTACCTATTGCTCTCTTCAACTTGTTCGTTCCATGGCATTGTTGTAGAAGTACTTGGTAGCTCGTATTCCATTCCCGTACACGCTTCCGGTCAACTTCGAAATGGCGCGCAGTCTTGCTCACGTTAGCTCCGTTCTTGCGGTGCCATTCCACGACTTCCACTTTCTTCTGGATGGTATAGCTGGACCTTATCCCGAGTATACACAAGAAACGTCTTCACAGTTTGCTGGTCGAAAGATTTTCTGGGGTTGTCGGGCGATCTGACGACAACCACTAAGTGACCTTCAACGCTTTCCTGATGTCATTCAATAAGTGACCTTGACCACTTTCCGGGTTCCTTCCGTTATCTTATCTCCCTTATTGTGTGTGGCCTCTTCTTTTTGTGAAGGGAATCCTAGGCTTTCCAAACCTTCTCCCCTACCCTCCGGCACTTTTCTCAACCTTCGGGCATCGCTATTTTTGGAAGGTGGGCGACCTATCAGTATTCGAGGGAAACACGTGTTCGAACATAAAAGCGGAGTGGGCGATCTATCGAGTGTGGGCGCTATTTCAGGATTTTACGGTATATATATATATATATATATATATATATATATATATATATATATATATATATATTGTAGCGGAGTGGACACGGACCCGTATGGTAGGATAAATGCGCTTGCACTTTACTTTGGGCCCGAGAACTGCACTGCGAAGGCTGTTCTTCATACGTGCCAGCCATTACGAAAATGGCAGATCTGGACTTATATAAAAAAGACAAATGTGGATATATAAAAAATTGGGCAGATCTGGCTATATCAAGCACATCAGTTTATATAAGCCTTATATAGCCAGATCTGCCCAATTTTTTATATATCCATATCTGGGTCTGCCAAATAGGGGGTATATCTGCCTTCCATATCAGGGTGTTTTTTTTTTTATTCTTGCAGATTTGTTTTAAAAAAAAGTCATAAAAGCTACACTTAGGCGGTTTCTGCGAGTGAGTTACACGCCCAGGGGGACATTATGTGGGCGCTAAGCTTTGCGATTACTCGGCTAATTAATTAAAATTCACTAATGAACTTTTCAGTTAGTGAAAATAGACATACAATTCCAATAAGCAGCTAGCGGGGCGTCGTCCAAAATCCCGAAAGCAGTCATTTTCAGACAGTCTTTCAGCGCGTGAGAAGCACTCTAAAGTTACCAATCGTGGAGCAGGTACAAGGCTAGCGGTTTCGGTAAGGCGCCCGCGCAATTTTTCTGTCTGTTATCTAGCCCCAGCCATGTACAGTGTACCTGGCCCACGAGTGGTAACTTCAGCGCACTACTGCGCTTCACACGCGCTCAGTCTTTCTAAACATGACTGGTTTAGGGGTTTTAGACGACGCTCAGCAAGTTTCTAATTAAATTAATCTAATTAAAAGTTAATTATTAATTTTAATTAATTAGCCAACTTATCGTGAACATTAGAAAACTACATAACGTCCCCCTGGGCGTATTACTCTCGCACAAACCGCGTAAGTGTAGCGTTCACGGCTTCTTTTAAAACAAATCTGCAAGAATTTTTTTAAAAAAAACGGTCTTTACTATAATGGTAGTTGACTCTTCGACCTTCCACAGCGGGAGCAATGGTAAACTGCGCCGCGCTCGGCTGTAGCGATTACCCGGTATCCCGACGATCGTTTCGTCGGCATGAACCGCGTGACAGAGTGTCCGTCAAGTTAGAGAAAGTACGAGCAGAACGAGAGGGATACACCCGCGGATGACTGAGTTTGCGGCACGCATCTCATAGCGTCGAGCAACGGCACTTTTCTACCGTTGTTTACATTCGCGCACGCCTTTGCATCGGCTTTTGCCCATTTGTGGAGTAGATGTCCTGTGCCTATCGTTACATAACGCCGATAACGGCGATCGGTCGGCGGCGGCTCCGTGTGCAAGCTCACCGAGACGCCGCCGTCAGGGGATCGGTTCGTGCCGTCCGCGAGACGGTAACCCTTGCAAGGAGCGAAAGCATGTTGGCATGCCGGTTAGGAAACATCATAATATGACGCCTGAGTCGATGAGAGTTGTCCGTTACTTGATTTATCCTCATCTCAGGGTTTAGATTATGACGGTAACCTAGCATTGTTTACCAGTATTTCGCAAAATCGTAACAATCTTTCTACAAGCGACTCGTAAAGCCGCTCGTCAAATTTTGGAACGCGTAATTAAGAATCTGTGTTTCTGTTGTTTTTTGGCGGCATATCGAAACTTTCTGCTTGTAGCGCAATCGCACCAATGCCGAAACATTCTGCACAATGATTCTCCCGGCTGCCAGGAGATAGACACGGCCTAAATTTAGAGGTAATCTGGAAGAATACATTTAGGAAAAACAATCAATTGTCACGAAGTAGGTTGCAGCGCTCTTACGTTGACGAGACGCGACTTGAAAGGTTTTATCTGAGGGAGATGTCGACACGGCCACGGCAAAACCACCACTTGAACACAGAAACGAGAAAGTACCCGTGAAGATTCAACACGATGTAGCACAAGCTGTTGTTTGTAGAACCAAACACTAAACGCATCACAAAAAATTCTTGGGCTTCTTTGAAGAAATCGCTTGCAGAAGCAGACATACGCAGCAGCCACAAATGGAGAATTCACACGCCAAACTAGGTCCGGCTAAACGCATTCCGAGATCGCCAGCGGCTAGTGCGTCATCAGTCAAACCACGTGACCATTTACCTTTTACAACGCTTTCAGCTTAGGGAGAGGGAGAAAAGGATCGAAGGAGAGGCCAAAACGGGGTTTTACGAACAAAAGGCTTATCTTATGGGGCCACAACAAGCGGATGTGTCACTTGTAACGAAGGTTGACAGTGCTGTGAATGCTATGTGTGGCCTTGGGCACCAGGCAGGTGCGATGTCCTGCTTTGTCACCAGATTCTAGACTGTAGTCACGTGACCCTAACCGGAGACACGATTGGCCTGAAACACGCGTAGCATCTACCCCGATGTCAATACCAAGTGAACATACAGCTCTATTAAGTCCAGCTTTTGAACTCAAAACGATGCGAGTTTCAAGATACTATGTTTTACGCTGTATAGCCCACATTATAATTTTAAATAAAAAAATAAACGCGACTATTTTTTTGTGGATGATTTCAATAGATAAATAAAGATGTGTATATATATTTTTACCAATAGATTTCAAATCATGTGTACACTGTTTCAAATTTTTTTACGAACGAGTTACACATAAAAGACACCACGGACAACACATCTTCCGACTTTTAACACACGATGAATCGCCGACGCTCGCAAACGGAAGGTTACGATGCTGCGCGAACGGTTTTTGAAAGAGCTGCGTATTGTACTCCGGGCGCAACGGCTTGCGTTTGAAGGGAAAAGGATTCGGGACGGCGAAGTGGCGTCTTGCATCTTGAGTAAGCTAACGGTTCGTGTTTACCCGCTCAATTTAGCGGGGAAACATAAAAAAAAAAATTTGTTTCACTCTCAGATTTTGCGAGAAAATGGACGTCACGTGACATACGTACCAATTCAATTTCTCGCTAAATTTAGCGGAGCAGTTACACCGATGGCGACGCCAACACCGCTTAACTCGGAAACGGGTGTCTAAGAGCTGCGACTAAAATCCATTATTTGATTAACTCGCGTTCCGATTGCACTTCGTCATATTGTCACACATCAAACATACAACCAAATTTCATTTGTCTTTCAGTCTTCAAAATGAGCAACTGATTAATTGGTCCAAATATCTGGAATAACTTAACTCTAAGGATTTTAACAATAGTTAACCAATTACATGAGACTTGTGCAATATAGATCAATCAACTAGTGTCTTAGCGAGTACATATAACTTGTTGCTTGCACGACTGAAACGGGCCCATATATCATTATCAGGGGCGCATTTGCACGCGTATATGGTGATATATGGCCGTATTTACGCACTTATACGGCCAGATCTGGCAGTATTTGCCCACCTATATGGCAAAATACGGCCGTATTAGCTCCTATATCTGGCGAAATACAGCCCTATTTGACTGCTTATATTATCATATCTGGCCGTATATAAAATATATCAGGGCCATATCTGATATTTTCATAAGGGAGGATCCGAATCTCTCGATTCATGTAAGCCCAGCACGCTCCTATGTCTCGAGTCTTTCTCGTCTCCTACGCTACTACATTCCTCCCTCCTCAGGCGAATGTGAAGACATCAGGTGCTTTGCGTAGTCTGGTCGGATACCGACGAACCGCAGTGGACTCGGACGCATCAGCTGATCACTGCAGAGTTGTGTCCGATGCATCTGCTTCTGCTTGCGGTGGTTCAACTGTGCATAAGTTGTCCACCGGCATTGGGGCGTGCAAAGCGGTCCAGTCTTCTTCGCAGATTTGTTTCTTTATCTGATCTGCATGCACCAGGTGTCGCTTGTTATCTTCCGTCAATACTTCAAACATAACTCGTCCTTCTTGGCTGACGATCACACCTAATCAAACACTACACGAGGACAGTATTTAGTAAGCGCTAAATAAAAATAATATGGAGTTACAAGGCTCCAAATATGTCTCCCGAACGTCAAAGGTACATTGTTTCGCATTTCCATTTTTATCTCGGTATTGGATTTTGACTTTTTTTTCAAGTGTATAGCAAAAAATATGTAAAGTTCCGAGAGAATGCCCCCCCTCCCCCCATCCCGTTTTTCTGGCTAAATATCTGCATCATAAAAATTCCGAAACATTTTGAAATGTTTGCGCAACGTACGGTCATTTTGGTGCACCGAGTTATAGCGGAAGGCATAAAAACCCACTCCGAACGACCGTTATGGACGGACGCTTTATTTCTGCAGGTGGATCAACAGCGGCATGGCCGGCGAGGATCGGACTCCAATTGAGTTCACAGGGTGAGAGGTGCAGGTGGCGCCCGGGACGAGCGCTCGAGGCCGCTTGCGTGCAGGTCGGGGTTGGCCTCCTCGCACGGCATCCGCCTGGTGGAGTTCCGCCATCCTGACGACCGGAGGGTCCTCGGCTTCTGGGAGTTTCCCCGAGGCTGCTTGCAGCTGGCGCTGGAGCCCCGGAGCATAAGGGCCGCCCTCCCGGCGCATTTTGCCGGCCCGCCTTGCGACCAGGGCCAGCGAGTAGAGCTCTTTGCCATCGACTCTCTGGGAAATACGATAAAAACACACTTTCAGCTCTCGTAGTGCTTGTTGTGCGTCTTTGCTTCCGAATCTGTCGTAGGTAGCAAGAATGACGACCGAGCTACTCGCCAAGTGTTGAGAATAAAAAAAAAAGTTTACACGCGTTCAATGCTGCTTTGCATCGAGGGAATCAAATGTCACTCGGCAGTCGTCGAGCGAGGGCTTTGTACGTGCAATGCTGGTACCAAGTGTGTTTGGTTGAATTCCATTTGAAATATCCGATTAAAGGGGGGCACTCCTCCATTTTCCTCCTCGCTGTTTATGGCCTTCTCGCACGAGTGCTAATAGGCTTACCAGCCCCCCCGCAAAATCTATGTAACCCTTCAAAGTTATCTGCTTCAATCCCAAACATCAGGGATTAGTTAGGCAGGCTGGATATGAGCTCGGAAAGGTTCAGGCTAACTCGCTTTTCTCCTTTTTTTTTTTTTTTTTTTGCAGTTTTAAAACACATTAGATACTTCCGCATGCGGCCACATACGCTACAACACCGCATATTTATCTCGAGTGAACGGAACTTGAACATCACAGGAGGAGGAAAAGAGGTGGGTATTTTTATCTGAACTTTGAGCGACAACTTTTCTTGGCAATGCAGTGGAAGGTAGAGGCCCGCGTCCCCTCTCCCATTTTGAGTGTGCGCGGTCTCTCCTCCTCTCCCCGGAAATGGGGGAGGAGGAGAGCCTGCGTACACTCAAAATGGGAGAGTGGGCGCGCGCGTGTACCTTCCACTGCATTGCTAAGAAAAGTTGTCGCCGAGTATAGAGGGTTGAAAGTTCGTCGTTCTAACAACGGCACACTGAAGAGTGATTGCATCACTATTTCGCTTTTTTTTTTTTTGTTCAAAGTAATAATTATGAGTAAATACAAGTAAAAAATATTGCAGTAAGAGGGCGAATGTTGCATCATTGCATTGTGAAAGAAGAAACAACTCCCCAAAGTAGGGTCCTTTTTCAAAGCCTACACTTAGCAGTGTCCTATACGAGAAGTGACTCTGGTTCCAGTTTCATGAAACTTGCACAAATCTTTTATATACATTTATTCAGATGAGGTCATTGATAAAAAGAGCGATCGGTCACACAGTAAAAGGGAGGAGAAACTATACAGCATTTTACATAAGCGTACAAAGTGGTATATTAGAGACATGATTTGAGAAAAGATGATGCAGTGTGAAGTTGTACCTTCCGGTATATTTTACATCTAGAGTAAAATAAATAACTTTACTTCCACACACAAAAACAAAGATATAATAGTAAGATATTTAGGTTGGCTGTGTATTTACGATTACAAACAATTTCAGGTGACGGATGCCATAGTGCCTAACTGGAGCAGCTTCGATGCTCTCGGTGTATGAATGAATCGTGGCAAGCCGATATATTTTATCCTGCTCGAGGATAACATTTTGGGATTTTTTTTTATAGTGATCAGATAAAAATTATTAGTAACCACCAACAAAAACAGTAGGTTAAATACCCCGTGAATAAAAATGTGATAAATAAGATGTCCCTGCATTCAAAATGAGCAGTCCTTGGGAAATCAAATTCGGCACTTTACGCTAAGGTTTTCCTCGCTGTACCCATTTAATAAAGTTGCTTCCAAGCAGATCCGACTGTCCGTGCTACATATACGTCACAGGTCCCTTCTGTTGAGGACTTGCTGAGCCGCCACTCGTGCCAAGACTGAATGCCAGGGAAGGCGCGCACCGTCAGCCACTCTTCTTTTTTTTGTTCACGATACCGAACAACCTCATTTTCGTCCAGATATACAAGATGCACGCCTTTCAGTTTCTTTGATAGAACGCTCACCATTGTCCTGGCCGTCTGAATTGCGCTGACTGAACGTGCTCTCAGGCTGTTCAGCGTGGCCTGGTGCTTCACGAGTCCGCCAACTCCGTCACATGCATTTTTCCCATGTCCAGATGCAGAAAATAACCACTGGGCTTGTGGGCAATCGTCCTTTGCAAATTGGTGAAGCTGGTAGCGATTCTTGAAATGACTGGCGGCGCCGTCACTTACGTACGTCACGTACGAGTATACCGCAACGTTGTCTTCAACCCACTCCTTCACTTTTTCTAGAGCCAAGCAAGCGTGAGCGGCGTTGTGACAGAGGTCCTCACTGATGATGGCAAAGCTGTTTGAAGATTTTCTTGTCGTCACTACACATGTAAATATCGAAACTTGTTTTTTTTTCCAGTGGTATGCTTGCACTTCATCAGGAAGCACGATGGTCCAGTTTTCAGCAAAGTCAAAATGAAAGACAATGCTCCCGCGTTGCATGCACTGTTTTTCATCGTAGATCGTTTTACCTTGCGTTTGCCGGATATGGTTGTGAAGTACCCAACTTCCAACCGTCACTTGGATGACTTTTAGGAAAGTCTCAGGTTCCAAAGTTTTTTTCACAAGGTCGCCGGACTCCCATGTTGCAAGCACAATCTCTTCATCCTCCGGGATATCAAGTTCCTGGAGTGTAAGAAACTGGCCTTTTGGGCAGTGATCACAGCCTCCTTGAAGGCACAGTTCTGTTGCTGGGTCGCACAGAAATGCCGAGTTCATTTCACCAGTGTTGAATGTTGAGCCTGTAACGTTCTCTAGAGCGGCAATACAAAATAATAATTGGCGCAGCGCACACAAACGCACACTTCCTGGTGTGGAATACATTGGACCCATCTAGGGCGCAACGAATAAAATTTCGTTAGCCCAACGCCGGAATCGGGATGCTTGTCTTTGTATATACGGAAGGCCTCTCGTATTGAGCGTGTCATGAAGCGCTTTGGCACGAACGTTTTCTCTCCGTTGAGCATGACAGAGATGACGTCCTTCTGGTTGGGACTTTGGCGCGAACATTGTAGCTCGTCTTTCGTGAAGTACTCTAGGGCAGCAGACAGGTTCTCAGGGCTCACCTTGCACCTCGTGTAAGGATCCGGCTCATACCACACGCCATGCTTTTCCTTGAGTTTTCGGGATTTACTGATGAGGTACATTGAGGTCTGTGGAATCATCTTTTGAACCTCATTCTTCGTCAGTGTTGACGGCAGGAGTGTAAGCAGTTGACAACGTTCCCGGAGAGAGGTGGCGGTTTCAAAGGCCTGCCGAAAGTTGTCCACCCACTCAGTGCATGTGGAGCATGTTGGTTCGGACGACCCCGATGGTGCGTCCCTGTCGTACGCAATACGTAGCCTTGAGCGTATATTCTTGACAGCAACCTGCTCCAGTTCTGTCTGCTTTCTCTTGACATAGGCAGGCCTGTCCCGACTTCTTACGACGCTTGGTTGTCTCAGCGGCGACACATCTGTAGGTAGTATGCTGCGATTTAGATCTTCAATTGCTTCTTCAGCTGGCACAAATATGTCAGGGCACTGCTCTGAGCTTCGCATCAAGATCTCCTTAGTGATGTGCATGAAGCAATGGTAGCACAGGTAGTCCGTCGCACTCACTTTGGTGGAACAGTCAGGCGGAAGAATTTGCTTCAACGAGTTTAGGTCCAACTCGCCAACACTTCGAAAATTCCGCTGCTTTGGTATAGTCTTTTTGTGTTTGCAAAAGTAATCTGCACAAAACACTCGTTCGGAGCTCCAGGACGTCTTCATAATGTATACATAAATAATAGAAATTAAACCCCAACTGATGGCATATAATTGCCAAGTGAAAGAACTACTGGGTGCACAAGTGACAAGTCCGAGGCTGAGGAGCTCACTCACTGCAAACGTACATTTGAAAAGAGAGGTCACAACTGAGGCTGTCGGCAAAGCTTGATCCACGTCAAAGGAAGAAAGAGGGAAAGTCTCCAGACAAAAAATTGTGGTCAGCGGCCTTCGAAAAAGACTTTCCGGAATCGCACTGTCGTCCCTCCACGCGCTGATATGTAAGCACCCGAGCTTCTACCACGTGGTTCATGACACAGCCTGAGCCATGTCGGCGACCGGTTCGCGAGGGGTTGGCGGTGGGGTTACGTTGATGGTCACTCGGATTAGCCCTTGCTGTACTGAGCTACCGCCTGCAGTGCCTTATCGCCGGCTGGTGTCAACAACGAGAACACACACACCCTGTCTACACCAAAACTACAAGCGTTCACCGCACACGCGTCGCCGCCGCTTTTAAGCTTTTGTGAAATTGCTTTCTTTTGCCGCGGAGAACCGCCTTATCTTAACTACGCGCCTGAAATCCTTCCAGGCGGGCGTACACAATATCAAGCGTTTCGAGAAATGCCCGTGGAGTAGAACTATGGGAAAATTCGGAGCCCGCGATGTCGATATCGTCGCCGTTGTGTTAGTACGCCGTCGCGTACTGCAGTCCCCCGTTGGGGGAGGGGGGGGGCGGTCTTACTACGATAACATGGCGACAGCGTTTACACTGTATGTATTTACGCGAGGCTCGAGTATTTGGGGATAATGCTGCCGGTTGGTGTGCCCCTTTGTGCCGGATATTATCGCCCGTGACGCCAGCGAGTGAGATGGCGACAGGCATGGCTGCTCAGTAAACAGGCATCGGCGGCCATGTTTTGCTGGTTGAAGCGAACCCCCTTGTCCTTGACAGCGAGCGGGGAAATGCGAAAAAAAGATTGTATCGGCCGTTTTGCCAGAACTAGCGACGAGTGTCGTCTGCGGTTTCCGGCAACTATTTTGCCATAATCGTGAGCTTAGCGAGGAAATGATTTTTGCTAGCCACAGAACACTACCACGCAGAAAGGGAATGCTTGAACATGTTTTTGTTCTGGATATATATCAGGGATATATATGAGACAGAGAGAGAGAGAGATGAAGGTAGAGCGGAAGAGGGAATAGCATATAAGGTAGAGCGGAAGAGGGAATAGCATATCGTGTCGCAGGAGAATAAAGTAAACAAAGTTCCTAGTGGCCGATGGCTGCATGATCTTTTCTCGGATCACTAGTCCGTAATATGATACCTCTTTGTACACAGTAGTTTCTGTAGTGAGGACATCTGGCAATAGATGGCACCACATGTGTCGTGCTGCGGGCTTACCGGAAGCGAAGCTTCTTCCGGTTGTTGATTTACGATTAAAGGCACTTTTTGACGAGCTGTCACACAGGGTGGTTGTGTTCTTCTGCCTGGCGACCATGTGGTCGCACTCGGACGCCCACGGTCAC